AGCGGGGGCGGTCAGGGCCGCGGCGAGGGAGGGGCGGCAAGCTGCCGCTGGTGGAAATCGCCAGCCATTACCTGAGTGCTGCTGCCAATTGGGCCAACTTGCTGGACAGGTTAAAGAGCAAAGAACAATTTTGTTTTTCAGGCAGGAAACTTTATGGTTACGAAAAGCAATCAGACTGTTTTTTATCTTTGCTTCGCTGTGCTGGAAGAAGGCAAAACCACGTAGCAATAGAATATGCAAGTACTTCTGAGAAAAGTGGAGCAAATGAGATGCCATGACAGGAGAGAATAGTTAGCGGAGAAGATGGAATGACTATACAACCCAGAAGATAGTTTCAGTAAAAGTGTATGCTGTTAGCCTAAGAAAAGCGTGGGGAAATCAAGGCTGTACCAGCCCCAGAGAAATGAACTTGGGACTGCTGTTCAATGCATTTGCCTCTGGTGAGTACTTAACAAGCTTTGTGCTTGGTTTACAAAAGTTGCTACCAAGTGGCAAACCTTAGTCCAGCATCAGGTAGTCTAAAGTCCTGATGTTGGCCTTGGAGTTTCAGAGAATAAGAACACTATTCTTTTAAAGTCCTTGTTACTCAAAAACATAAAAGTATTTATTTTTGCTTGCCTTTGGAATTTTTTCGTTAGGATTCACATCTTCAGGTTTCTTCAACACCACATATCTTCAAAACCAGAAGAACTGGACAGCTTTTGTTCCTGGTGCTTTAAGAAAGCATAATATATTCCCAAATCCATATATTACCATAGTGCCATATATTTCTGGTATTGAGTGAAGAGGATGAGAGAAATTGTGACTTGGTCCTGTCAGTCCCAGTAATGGCACATCTAATTGCTATATCTCGTGTAGTCATGGATAGAAAAACTTAACCTAACCTTAATTTTTCAAAGTCACAATAATAAGTTTTTATTTTTATATAAGTTACTTTTATAAGTTATGAAGTTTATGTAAGTTATTTTTTGCAGCATGTGCAGTTCTAATTTTTTTTTTTTTTGATAGTCACCATTAAAAGTTAGCTTTCATACATCATAGCAAGTCGTTTGTTGAACATAACAGACAGTACAAAGTTTATGCAAGTATTGTGTCGTCTTTATAACTCCTTGATAAGCAAGCTTTAAAGTCCATGGTTGGTGTTTTTAAGTTCTGTACTCTTTATTAAAACTTCTTCAGCAGAGGGTCAGCCACGTGAGATAAAACTTCCCTTAGAAACAATGCAGATGCAAACCAGTGAATGTGCCTGAAGAATTGATAAGATAGGAACCAATGAAAAAGAAAAGGGATGTGATTTTAATTTTACTCACTCAGCTGGAAACTGGCTATAGCCTCTGTGATGTGGGTCATGTACCCAGAAGCAGTTTCCACCTGGTGAAGGGGTGCCACCAGACCTTCAATAGCTAATGCCCAAAGTAACAAAGTAATTTTTTTCTTCCTGTGATGATTAATGGCTGAAGAAGAAAATAGCTTTAGCATTGTAATAGACAAAGGCATGATTCTACTTCTTACCTTCTTAATAATGTCTTAAATCTGCCATTTATGAAGTTAGGACAACTCAGCCTTACATCCTGATCTGTGTAATGAATTCCCTTATTTCTTAGGTGGACTAATGCAGTCTTTGTGTTCTTTACTTGACCAGGTCATGGTACTCTGTTAACAGCTTTGAAACTTGTTTTCCTTGTGTGTAAAACTCAAGAAAAAAGAAAGCATTCTAAATCCTAGACGGCAGCATACTAGGAGGGAGCCTAAGCTGAAAGATGGATGTTTTGGGATTCAGAAAGAAGTGTACCACTTGATGCTTCTGTGAGGCAAAGTATGTGCCATCTCTTTAACATATTCAAGATAATGAGACGTATGTGAGTTACTTATGTATAATTATATATACACAAAAAAATCTGGTACTGTAGCACGGATCAGCAAATTACTGTGTCCTGCTACATGGTGAAACAAATGCTATAGACTAAAAGATCAGGTATGGTTTGGGGAGGCTTTTATTATCTTTGATGGTGCTTCTGGCAGTACCTTTTATCATCTGTGGCATGTACAATGTGAAACAGAGTTTCAGATGAGCATCTAACTAAACTGTTTCATAATCCAGTATTTAATTACTTTATTAGGCTTCTTTCTTGCAACAAATTTGTTTTTTAACGGTTAAAAAAATCAGTGGTACTTTTCAGCATTGCTAGAATTTTATTTTTCTACCTTAGAATCTTTCTATGTGTATATGGGTGTCAGGTTATCTCTTTTAGCATGACACTGACTTCAGTAGCAGCTAGATGCGTGGAAGATTCTTTCCTTTAAACTCCGGAACAAAATGTATGTAGATCTTGTATTGTATCTGTAAGGCATGTGAAATCTTGTGCTATTAGGGTATTATTGCTACCAGAATGCTCCTGTTTCCCCTTTTTCCTTCTCCCCTAATTTGCCTTCAAGAAGTTTTGACCATATGAATCATACATATGTTGGATCCTACAGAAAATTCTGTCTCTGCCTCTTCAAAGAGTCACTTTGAAGGAATTGTCCTTGGGAATTTTCTTTAAAGTTTCTTTTTTTTCTTTTTTTTACCTCCTCGTTTTCCAAACGTAAAGGGATTGTATCAGCTTTAGTATCATTGAAGACATTCTCAATTTGCAAAATGAGAAGCATGATTTTCTTCTGGGATGATAAGCTATTTGGACAGAGGAGTTCTTATTCTTAATTTTCCCAGAGTTCTGTATCTGTTCCAGAAGTGCAATACAAGGTGACTAATGCTTATTTTATTTTTTATGCTTCATTTGTATTCCATTTTGGAAGAAAAATGTCCTTGAAATAAAGCAACATTCGCATTCTTTAGAAAATGTAATTTATGGAATGAGTTCAAATGAATTGTGATACTAAAAGTTGTATAGGTTGTTTTTTTTTTTTTTTTCATTCTTCCCCACATGCTTTCTCATATGTTTAAAAAAGAAAAGAGAAAGTAGTATTTGAGAGGTCAAAATACAATAATTATATTGCTACAGTAAAATCTTGTAAAACTGATTGCAGCTACTCCAATTGGGACATACAGGTTAAGCTAAGTCCAGTTCTTCCATCTGTACTACATTTTTGGATTTGTCACTTGTATTTGTATTAAACAAGAATAACTAACTCATAATGATCTCTGTTTTAATGTTTTATTTAAATTGTTCACTATGTTTCCAAATACTAAATAAAATGATTGCTCATTAGCTTGTTTTTAAATGTGGATCTCAAAAGGTTTAATGTGCCCATTCATCAAGTTTTTATTTTAGAAACAGAGCTTTAGCTGGAGATATACATAGATATATATATATGTATGTATGTATTGGGTTTAGTATTTGTTAGAGCTGTAGCTAGAAAGGTCCTCTTTTCTAAGCACATGATTGAAATTATGTGGAAATATGGAAATAGTTTGACATTTGAGCTTTGCCTTTGATGCCTTTGAGCCATAAATCCAACTGTTAAATAACTTCAGAGCCAAACCGTGTCCTGCCCTGTTCTCTGTGTGCTGATTTTTGTTACTGTGCAGCATATTTCCTAGTGAATAGTATTTAATTAAAAAATATACATTACCTTGTCCTTTTAAATTTGATTTGGTTGTAATTTCAACATATATTCACCCGAAAGTCCACACCAGACAGGTGGTTCCTCACCAGATCAGCATTAAGTGTGTTCTGTGTGAACTGCTAGTATGGTCAGACTATAGCTAGTGACTCTCCAAAGTGTAGGCTCTGCAGGACACTTACTTTTTCGGCATAGTGGTTTGGATTTCAAAATTTTTGTGAGTCTCCCCTCCCCAACATGTGCCTTTTCCAAATATGTGTATGACACAAACAACAATATTTAAAATAACAGGGATTGTGCTATGCTGTTCCTGTGCTGCTTGCATGAACTAACGTATTACTCAAGGGCAGTGTCGTTTTTGAATCATGAGGAGTATTGCATAAGGCTGGGA